TGAGAACATGAAGACAGGCACCTTACCTCCTCCACAAAAAAGCTCACCAAGATACAGAGAGTAGAATTTCCTTCCAGCAGAAAGTTAAGTGTCTCTGACTCCTTCCCTGGGCAGATTGATGTTTATTTAGTCTATGACCTTCTGAGTTTACCTTTGTGTTTAACTTCCTGCCCAGGTCTGGCCCGGGGTAAAGGGCAGTGGAAAATTAAGAGTAGGCTGTTGGAAGAACCTAACAAAACTGGGCTTCTCTCCTTCTAAGAAGACAGAAGCAGTGCTTACTGTGGCAGTCAGGGACCTGTTTTCTTTGTATGTGAGTGACTTTGGCTTGACCACAAGGCCATTCTAGCTCTAACAACAACTGGGATTGTGTGGAATGTGTGGAATTCATTGTGGCAGGCCAGAGTACTTAATCCATGGAGCCCCATTTGAGCAGCTGGTAGTCATTCTGACATCCACTGGATATGTATTTGGACTCCCTTGTATGAAACGGTGCATATTACTGCATCCTTATCTAATGTTTAAAAAGGAAATATTCAGTGTAACATATTTATCATAGTACCTAGCATGCAAATATTGCATAAGTCAACTATATACAATTATTGCCCATGTAGTATCATCATGCTGTGTGCCATACAGTAGATCTTAATCTAAATATAAGTTGATGCCATTACGGAAACTTTATAGCCATTAAACGACTTCCAGGCATATTTTCATTTGAACCTAAGAAAAATACTTCAAAATCTACCTTCTACACAAAAATGTCTCCATCAGCTCTAGTCTTTCCATACACTCAGCCTGCTTTTGTTTCTCCCTTTTGTTGGCAGCCACAGCACTGAACTAATCCTCATCAGCACTGCTCTGCACCGAGAATGTGAATATCATCAATAGCCTGCCAGCTGGGTGTGGGTAGAAGGTATTCTAAGTCAGAGAGAGCAGAGTCAGGGTTCTCCAGAAAAAAAACAAAACCAATAAAAAAAGACGTATTACAATTGGTTCAAGTCAGGGTGAACTTGCCAGCCGGGAGACCTAGAACATCTGATGATGCTCCAGGCCAGTGAAAGACACTGTTTCAAAGGAGGTGGATGGTGTTCCTGAGGATGACACCTCAGGCTGTCCTGTAGCCTCTGATCATGCATACACAAGAATACACACACACACACACACACACACACACACACACACACACACACGAGAGAGAGAGAGAGAGAGAGAGAGAGAGAGAGAGAGAGAGATTCTGTTGATTAGGATGTGGCATATCTTTGGGGAGCCATCATTGAAACTACTACTCATACTAACTAAAGCAAAGTTTCCATGTCCTAGTCACATTTTTGAAAGTATAGGATTTCTCTTACATTTCCAAAGATTCTGTGAGTTGCTTATTCTTGACATAATTAAACTTTACATGTCTCCAATACAAATTAAAAACCAGCACAGTCTGGCTTCCCTGGCCTCTGCTCTGAGACCCTGGCTTTCTATCACTCCTCAGAGATCACTTCTCTTTCCCCTATTAGTTTAACTCACTAAGAGGGTGTATTAAGCCAGGGAGGCACAAAGCTAGCACACAAAGCTTAAGGGAGTCCCCCAAAACAGTGATTTCAGAGGATTTTCACCCCCCCTTAAATAAATAGTGCATCCATCAAAATGAGACTTCCCTCACTTGGTGAAATTTTACATTCCCTGAAGTTCACAGGCAAGAGAAAAGCCTCTGTTGTCTACATATTGTGACTTTGTGGTGAACACCAGGCATCTCAGCTTTTGCTCATGCATTCCCTAATAACACCACACTGAAACAAAATCTGCACTTTCCCTTCCCATCCTCCGTATTTCTACTGTAATCTGCATCATTGATAAGTAAAAGTATCGTGCAAGTCTAAAGTTTTAGCCTTTCTCAGGTATCCTATTTCTGAACCCTTACCACCAGGCTGTCTCCCTGTTGCCTATCTCAAACTCCAAAGGGAAAACAAGGGGATATCTACAAAAGGCTATTCTTCTGAAGGAATCATCAAACCAATGAACATAAATGAGCTTGTGGATAAGAAGGTGCATTTAACTCAATCAATATGTAGTTCAGTGGCTTTATGTGGTCTTCCTTCCAAACAGAAAAACAGGCTCAGTATTTCACACTCCTCTCATTTTTCTTTCTATTGGAAATCATGGTTTGATGTATCACTGACATTCTGTCTCATTCTAACACACTCTACTTAAGGTCAGGAAAAGTGCAGTCATTATTGAGAAAGGCTGGCACAACAGGTAGACCCCAAGCCAGGTTGGCAGGATCCCAGAGGCTGGACCCCAAAGACCCCAGTGCCTGTGTCCTCACCTGACATGGCTTCTCTATAACAGCTCCTGTGAAGCCAGTGCTGAGTTCTACTGTGTCATTTGTCACCATCTGGAATGGCAGGTTCTTTAGGGTCTTTGCCACAGAGCTATGAAACTCCGTGTGTAAATTAGAGTCCCTTTCCTGCATAGGTGTGAAGGGTTCACTACCACATTCCATGAGTCTGAACTGCCCTGGGAGTGCATCATGGATCACACACCATGCAGGGTCTCTGGAGAAGTGTCTTCCCTCATGGTGTTCACTCAGGCCATTTCCAGAACAGGATAGAACTGCATGCCTGTTCAATCTCCTGAGTCATCACATTTCAGATTCAGTGTTAGACATGATGTCCATCCAGGACAAGGCTGTGTAGTGTGTCAAGACCAGCTGGATTCTTCAGGAGATATTTACAGGACTCCAAATATGCAGTCTTAAGAAAGAAAGATGATTCTTTATCTTGTATTTTCTACATCAAGGTTAATATTACCTATTCACTAATAGCTTGTTAATAATTTATACCTAATCTGTTTTCTATTTGTTTTGTTTCCCAGTCTTCAGTCTACATACTTTAAAAGGATGTTAATTGTTTATATATATATATATATATATATATAATTTTAAATGACTTACAAACTTACAAGAAAAAATAATTTACCCTTTTGTCAGCACAAGAAATTCTGGTTTTAATAAACATATATAATAAACCATTGAATTGAGGACAAGTGTGAAAACACATTGTCAGTTTTTACAATATTAAATTGGCAGAAGGGATGATTAATAATTTAGTATCTACTAAAAATATGACACAAAATCTTATATCCCCTATCATCATGGAGAGTATTCATAGTCAAAAAATGACAATAATGTTTAAAATCACATTTTCTTACTAGTTTTTGCCTGTAGTGTTGGTAGAGCATTCATCTTTTGCCATATTTCAGAGAGGGCAGTAGGAAAAGTTATGTTATTTGAGCATTCACAGTTGAGTAAACCCTTCCCCCTTCAAAAAAAGAAAAGGAAAAGAGATGGGAAGAGTATCATGTTTGCTGCTAAAATAAAATACCCAGACAGAAGATGGACTTTTGGGAAGAAGGGGTTTATGTTACCCACAATTCCAAGTGATAGCCATAATTCTGGGAAAGTGAAGGCAGTAACTTCAAACAGCTGGCACATCAGGTCCACAGTTAAGAGCAGACAGAAATGGATGAATACATGCTCACAGGCTGCATGATCAGCTTGACTTGTTCACACATACAGTTCAAAATTATCTGCTGTGGGAATGGCTGCTCACCATGCGCTGGGTCCCCCCACATCGATTAAATCAGTGAAGATGACCCGGACAACCCAATGTAGACAATAACTCACTGAGACTCTCTAGGTGAGACTATGTTGGGTCAAGTGGGCATTTAAAGCTAATTACAGAGACAGGAAAGAGGGTAGAGAGAGGAATGGAGGGAGAGAGGGAGGAGAGGGAAGGAGGAGAGTGAGGGAGAGCTGGGAGGGAGGGAGGGGAGAGAGAGTGAGAGAGAAAGGGAAGGAGGAAGGGAGGGAGAAAAAGGAGGAGAGGAAAGGAGGGAGGGATGGAGAGACAGCACAGAGACTGAATAACCTGGAAAACCTAATTGAGAACAGATCTATTCTGGTCAAGTTATGAAGACAGCAAGGTTCCTCAGATGAAGTTTTATAGACACTTTTATAGAAAAGGATCGTTTAAAAAATCAGATGAAAATGAAGAACGAAGCCAATGTAAACAAGACTCCTCAGTGCTCCCTACTTCCTTCCCAATGGCAATATCTACTTTGTGCCCCATTTCCACTTGGAAATCCAAGAGAAAGAACCCAGGCAATGTAGCCAAGAAAGAAAGCAACAGACAACCAGAACCATACAGAACATGGTTCATTTCTCTCACCAAGTTTTCATTTCCTGACTTGTTTGCTGGGCCCGATTGTCCTCCTGAAACCTGGGCTAAGCAGCAATGATTCTGCAGCCTTTGGGTGTGTATGTCATACTTCGTGACATCGGAGGTTTGGAAGAAAAAAAAATACTCTGTGGGCACTTCTGCTGCTGTGTGTTTAATATTCAAACTAGCCCCACTGTTCTTCACCAGCTCGCACAGCAAGCGCCACAGAAAGTCTTTCACGTTCCTCTTCCCTATGTGATGCGTGGCTCATCTTCCTTCTGCTTTATACTCCACCTCTCTGTTGGACTGTCTTCCATAGCCACGCCCACTTGTCCAAGCACAGTGACTCTGCAGCAGTCTATTTCTCTGTCTCTGTCTCTGTCCTCGACATGCACATGATGAGTGTATGTTTATATGTGTACGTACTTGCCTGTGGGTGTGAATGTGGGTGTGCTTAACTAAGGACAGCTTTGGGTGTTGTCCTAGCCTTCTTCCTTGTTTAAGACAGGGTCTCCTGTTTGCCATTAGATACCTCAGGCTTGCTGGCCTTTGAGCTCCTGCTATTCTCCTTCCTTCTCCTTCCTTGTAGTAGAAACACTATGCTTACAGATACAGTATTGTGCCCAGGTTTATAAGAACTCTAGGGATCCAAACTCAGGTGCTCACACTTGTATACTAATACTTTCCCCCACGGGACCACCTCAGCCCTTGTTATTTATTTTTGTAGGGTTTGACCTTGTGCTTGTGACAGCTCGTTGATCATTTGTCTCTTTGTGTTCTTTACAGATAGATGTGACATCATATGGAAAAAATTAAAAGAAAAGGCAAACACCTTAAGGATGCTTCAAACTCATACATACCTAACAGATAAAGGGGGAAGTAAAAACCATGCTCTAAACTATTTGCATCTTTTTCTTTGAATAATAATAATAATAATAATAATAATAATAATAATTCAAAGAAAAAATTCAGGGATCCTGGTTGATTTTTCAGTTCTAGAGGTAAAAGTTTCAAAGGAAGATGCCACCTGTCTTGTGCTTTGGGTGCTGAAGGACATAGAGCATCAACCCTTTGAGCTGTGTGGATGACAGCTAATTAAATTCAGGCGGTTGCACAGACCATTCCAATGGACCTTACAGCAGGTCTGCTGACTCAACAGGTTTTGTATAGAACATCTTCAGCCTGAAGAACAGCCTAACTCACGACTGAATTGGTCCATCAGCAAAAGCAAAGTTGGTTGGAGATTACCTCTGAGCAGCCCAAGCTTGACTGTTTGGCACTGTGCTATCCTTTGAAGCTTAAGAGCGTAGATGTTAGGTTTCTTAAAAATAACATCTTCCCCAATGTGTTCTTCATCAAAATTGCAAATTCCCAGAGTAGTCTTTCTGTTTCTCTTGCACAATGTGGAGTAAAATTAGAAGCTGATTTTACATCACAGTACCGGGCTGTAATTAGTAGTTCCTCAAAGCACTATCTGCTCTCTCAGCAGCAGCACCTGGGAGATTGGTAAACGCAAATCCTGGGCTTTCCTAGATCATGGCTTTTTGAGAAACTGGAAGGAAGGCCCAGCAACATGCATATTAACACACCTTCCAGGCAATCCTGACAAAGGCAAACTTCCAGGAACGAACTTGTTATTTACGACTGATTACAGTATGAGCTGGATAAATTAAGTAAGAAGAAACCACTGAGGGTCACATTTGTGCTCTCAGGTCTGCTATCCAACCACTCGAATCATGTTGAGCCTACTATAGTCGTCAGCACTGAAAACAATAAATCTTTAGTTCAGCTCATCACCGTTTGCCTTTTAACTCCTGAAAAAAACAGTAGATCCTGAGAAAAAGACGCCACGTCTACACCGTTGGCATTGTAGACTATTCCTAAGGTGGAATGGGCCATTGTTTCATATGCCAGAGTCATCTGGTCAGCTGGGGCAATGTGGCTTTCACAATAACCAGTAAGTGCTTTAACTTGAAAAAATAAATGAGAAACAAAACCAAATACAGAGGAACAGACAAGGAATTTTTGTTTGCATATAAGTGATAGAAATATTTGGGAGACCGAAGGAAAGAATAAACAATACACAGTATCCTGAATATAGTCAACCCTTCCCAACCAAGGTACTTCCATTTTAAACCAGTTCAGGCCAGTGCTAACAACAATCTAGAAACACAGAGGTACAGAAGAAGTTGGAGTCCAGGAATACCCCTCTGACAACACAGAGTGTGATGAAACAGCTACTTCAAAGATTAATAGGTATGTCCCTATTTCTCTACAAGTCGAATCTACTAAATGGAAAGGCAGGGGCCATTTGGGGCTGACGTAACCAGTATGTTTACTTCCTCTTAAAAAATGCACGGTTTGTTGGGCTTTTAATGAGAACTGGGAGTAAACTTTGTTTACCAAGGAATGTAATCAGTAAAAAATGAAAGAAGATTTAAAACGTTAAACCCGTTAGCTGGGGTTTGAGATTTCTTTTCTTCTAGACTTTGGAAACTGTGGTGACTTCCAGGGTTTCTGGAACTTTCTGGACTCCCCCTCAGGCTCTTGCTATGTCTCTTATCTTATTTCATAAGTTTCCCCTTTTCCTGTTCAGTATTTGCATGAGTGTCTTTTTGAATTTGGAAGAGAGCAGAAAGTACATTTTTAAGGGGTTATGAGCAGTTTCTAGGAAACCAGTTCCACGAACAGGAAGGAAAGGGAAGAGAAGAGGAAGAAAGACTGCTGATGTGAGAGATGACTAGGAGACTGCAGTCTGCACACAGAAACAGGAGAACGAGTTGTCTAGCTTTGGGGAAATTTGTGAGGGAACACTCAGAGAAGCAGAAGTTTTCCCACAGTGACACCCTGGGCTTTTCCTCAAAGATGTGGCAAAGAGGAGTTATAGGGTATCTTATAATGAGCATAAAATTTATACCTCAAAATGTTTTCCTCAGTGACTTCATTGGAGCAGAATGTGCCGCCGTCCTCTAGGGAGAAACTGGGTCACAGAGGCTCACAAGCATTGGATAGCTCAGTAGCTCAGTGTGGTCTAATGTTCAATATGAGTTCATTTAAAGGACCAAGAGATGGGAATTGCTCAAGATTCCTCAGGCCTTCTTAAGAAGTTCTCTTGTGTCCTGACCCATTTAAAAAGAATGATTAAGGACTTCATCATAAAAAGCCACTTTCTTCTTTTACTAAGATAATGTGTGTGTGACTACAAGGAGGCTGGAAGGAGCGAAGGAGAGGATAAAATTAATGAGACAAATACCAGACAAGATGGAGCATCAGAAAGATCAAAAAAATCAGAAAACCAATGGAAAAAATGGCTTTAGAAAAAAAATAATGTCCCTAAGACAAGAAAGAAGCAAAGAATGAATACGAATATGGTAGAAAAGAGGGAAACTAAGGCAGAAAGAAAACATAGTTTCCATACTAGTCATCTGTTATGACAGAACGTCTAGCAAGGAACAACTTACAAGAAGGAAGGTTTATTTGGGTTTAAAGTCCAAGCAGATTACAGTCTGCATTGTGGGGAAGGCAGTGGCTCCATGGTGACAACTGTGTGAGGCACCTTGTCATATTGATTCCAAAGTCAGGAAGCCAACAGTGCCTAGGAAGTAGTATCAGTTTAAACCTTAAAGCCCCTTTGCAAAGATCCTCTACCTCCATTAAGACTCTGCCTCCTAAAGGTTCCAACTTCCAAAACAGTACTGGCAGCTACAGACAAAGTGTTCAAACACAGGAGCCAAAAGGGGACATTTCACATGAAGACCGCAACTGCTTCCTTCTGAGTACTCTGGAAAGCCACATTTCCTGCCAGGACCTAGTAGAGAAGGGAATGGAAGACAATGGTTTCCACGGGGTGCACAGGGAGCAAAGCTCAGAGGAGAAATATGAACCTCCATTGTTTTAATCAGCATCCTCTCATCATTGCACCTCCAACCAAATGGCACTTTAAAATAAGAAGAAAAGAGACGCTCAAGCAGGAGTTACATTTATTGGCATCATCAATTGTGTCTAAAAGAAAAACCACAGTGTATCAGGACCTTAGCTCTGAACATAAAATATGGTTGTATTAATTGCTCTCTTTGGGGGACAAAAGTAGCCTCAGCCTGAGGGAAGGTAATGATTACCTTCTGTGTGGGACTCGTCTTGTCAGAGCTGTTGAGAAACCCTCTCATAACCCCACCTCATGTGCCTCTGACCTGCCTGACTGCCACAAAGGCTGCAGAGACAGCTCTCTGGAGGCTCTGGTTTCTGCCAAGGCAAGAGGAAAACTATCCCAGACTCAATGGAGCACTCAAGGAAACCGAAGTCTCTGGGGGACACCAGGTCATATATAGGCTGCTTTCTGACTGCTGCCAGCACAGTCCCGCAACACAGCAGGCGCTAAGAAACTATGGTTTCACTGGGAATGAGGAAATAACTTACACGTCAACACTGACCTGACAATCCCTTAGAATGTACTCACTCTTTTAAAGGGTTGGTTGTCAGAAAAGTTTCAATCTACAAATGTGTAAAATTTTGACTAGGTTTCCAATAGCAAAGCTGTCACCAGGTCAAGGGCAATGCCTCAAACTTGGATACACATTTAGTCACACTTCAGCTTGTCATTAATTTCTAAATATATGTGACAGGCAGAGTATGCATTAGCTCTTGCATAACCAACCTAGTGTGGTACAGAGAAAGACATGATAGAACTCAACTGCCCAGGTTTATCTACTATTGTATGAACTAGAGTTCAAGTTTATTGTCTTAATACTTCTAAGATATTTCTTAAGATTACATATTATGTGGGAGATAAATATTTTGTGTACAGAAGAGTTGGGCTTGGCCAGAAAGTTTATTGCTTTAGATCTCAAGCCTTTTGCTACCCTCTTACTCTGACTATTAGTCATTTATTGGTTACATTTAATACATTTGTGCTTTAATCTGGGTTTCTTATAGTCTTCTTTGATACAGTGAGATGTGAAGACTGAGTTACCTAGCTAACCTTTATTTAATTAGTGAGATAAGTTTAAGGAAAAATCAAGACAGTATAAATGAAAACATTTAGTAAGAATACAATGTCACAGTTATGATTTTAATGTGTTCCGCTAAAGCTCAAGTGTTCTGAAACTTACCTACCAGTGTAGGCAATGCAGGTCTGTGGGAGGGACATGTGGATCCATGGGGTACTATGTTAGGGTCTTTGCTCTAATGGCCTGCTCTCACTGCCTTCTAGCTCACAGCTCTCCAATATGGCTTGACACCAGAAGCAGCCCTAAGAAGGCCCTCACTGGATGCCAACAACATGCTCTTGAAAGTACACAAAACAAATTAACCCTGTTCATTAATTTCCAAATCAAAGGCATTAAGTTACAGCAACAGAAAGAGAGCCAGGTGTGGTGGCTTAAGAGTAACTACAAATCCCAGAACTCAGAAAGCTGAGGGAGGGTGGTGGCTGTGATTTCCAGGCTAGCTGGGACTACATATTGAGACCCTGTTTTCAAAAACTAACTAACTAACTAACTAACTAACTAACTAACTAACTAACTAACTAACTAACAAATGCAAGCATACAAACAAGAAGGAAAAACAAGAAAGACAGGCAGGGAAAGATTAAGACGGTTATCAAAAGCAAACAAGGTTTAAGTAGAAGATTGGAAACAGCATCTCAGACCTTCATCAGATTTTTTAAGCCTTGCCTTGAAAGGAAATGTCAGGTAAGTCAATGGATAGAAACTCCACACATCAAAATTAAATCTAATTCATTTTTAAAAGTGTTTTTCATTTTGCAAAATGTTTTAATTTAAATGAGGATATTATCTTACTTCTACTAACTACATATGCAAAGGTTTTATAGGAACTCATTAAAAGTCCATTTCTAAGTATTTAACAATATTCCAATTTCATCTTTTTCTATGAAATTCCCTTTAAGCTTAGTAAGCCAATCAAATTTATCTAAAGAAAACCTGGCTTTGAAGAAGTTTTGGAGACCTTGATTCTATTTGATCCTTTAAGTATCAGAAACCATCAATGGATAAACTATTCTTGAGCTTAGCCTGTGATCCTAGCTTTGGGAAGACAGAGCCTGGAAGACCCTTGCTGGTCAAGGCAGTCTAGTCAAATCAGTGAGTTCCTGGCTCAGTGAGAAGCCCAGTCTCAATAAACAAGGCAGATTGTGATTTAAGGAAAATTCCTGTTTTCAATGTCAGGCCCCCAATGCACACACACACAGATCCATATGCCAGTAGGAATATGCTTGCATGCTCACCTACATTCAATATTGGATTCACTATTGAAATGACAGAGTGTTCCTGTGAAATCTTGTGGCATTTTAGCACATTTTATTATATTTGATGGGCATGTCTTCTTTCTCTTTAGTAGGGTTTTGTTTTGTTTGTTTTGTTTTTCTTTCTTTTTACTGGCTTTTAGGATGTGGCTGGCTGGTTTTGTTTTAGTTTTTTTCTCAAAGACGGAAAAATAATAGATTCCAGATATTTACAAAGCTGAGGTTCCCTACTTCCCTCACCCTGTCCTGGGAAAGGAGGGGAGATGCTTCACACCACCACAAGGCAAGTATGAGAGGAGCACTAGTAGGCCCAAGGAAACACCACAGCCTTAACATGGTAGTCTGTACCACAGAGCAAGTGAGAAAGAGAAGGATGGTATCTGGAGTACATCACCTTCTGTCAATGGCTGGGTACAGATGCAAACTCCTCGCCTAGGTCAGTGAATGGTTCATAAATAAGAGCAGGATGTCTCATTTGTAAAACCTTTACAAATGTTTCCCTAAGTCTGATTCCAGGGGCCCTACTTCAGAAAGAATTCAGAACAGGCCTTAGTCAAAGGAGTGGAGGGGAAAGGAGACATTGAAGATGACCACAAGGAAAATCAGCATCCACCAGAATGGAGTCCAGCTGAGGTACCCAAAAGAATATGTTTGAGATCATAGAATCAGCTCAGAGAAACCCTGCAACAGACTGTGACCAGCCTGCCTGGAGGGAATAAGGGCATTCTAAAGAGACTGGCTGTCTGGACTATTGAAACAAGGCACCCTAGTTGGTTGGAATTTCACCCCTGATTTTCATGCTGGGAGAAGGAAAAGACAGACACCTGGGTAAGCCTGAAACTTGTCTCCAAGAAAGGGATTTCACGGGATGGCAAGGGTTTATCAAACCACCCTGCAGGAAAGTCAGGAGCCCAGGCAATGGCCTTCAGTGATGGCTGCTTAATTTGCACACCTCTTGTCTTCCTTTTGTCCTAATTTAGGGACCTGAAAGGTTGGTGGGCAGATGGACAGGGGGAGGGTACGTGGAGGCTGTGCCTGTCTCTGAATATTTTTGACCCTTTCCCAATGCACCTACACTTAATTAACCTCCTTCATCTGTTTTTCACCATTAATTTGGCCCTTTCAATTAGTCTATCAGGGACGGATGTGTGGCCAAGCCCAGCGTATTATAGCTGCTGGGGACACAGGTTTCTGACCCTGACTCCAGTAACATGACAAACTTGGGGATGAACATCTGGCAACTTTGCAGTGACTCCCTTCCTATTCTGGTGTGGGGTGCGGTTATTTGGCTTACGTTTCCACATTATAGTGAGTCATTTCAGGGAAATAGTGACAGGAATTCCAGCAGCTAGTCTTACCACATCCATAGTCAAGACTAAAGAGATAATTTATATATCCTTACTACTCTCAGGTACTTTTCTTCTCTCTTACAGTTTGGGATTCCCTGCCTTGGGGAATGGCTGGATCTCCAAACATCAATTAACAAGACAATTCCCCACAGGCATCACAGAGGCCAAGCTGGTCTACATAACTCCACATTAACACTCTTACTAAGAGATTCTGGGCTGTGCTCAGTTGACATTGAAAGCTATCAGTACAACATTGGGTGGGTATCTCTGTGTTCTGGTGGAAGTTTCACCCCAAGTCCCCACAGCCCCAATCCTTGCCTCATCTCAGAAAGCCCTCCATGTGATCTTCAAGACCACTCCCACAGGGTATTTAAACTGCCCCACCCCCAGAAAATAGACATGTGGTTTTCTTTTCTGTCTCCTCTCTGGGGGGCTGGAAAATCATCCAGGAGCATTTTATCCATTAATCCTGGCCTGTTTCTAACTCAGTTTGATTTGATCTGATTTGGATTGCTACATCAGCAGAGAGGCTTATTGGGGTGCAGAAACCTTTTGCTAGGATCAAGGCAAAGGACCTAACAGTTAGGAGATGAGTATAAGAAGTTAGATGGCACGTAAGCTAAATCTGGTATTTCCTAACCATTTCTCTAATTGTTTGGCCATTCTGTTGTACTACCATTTGGGCACCATGACCACGGTTTGTCCACCTAGAATACACTCACACTCTGTCAGCAGAACCAGTTCAGAGCATCACAAGTCCTTCCTGTCAACCTGTTTCTGGCTCCCTTGGTGTCTTCTTCACTTCTGGCAGCCAACCTCCCTTCTTCTCTCATCTTCAGTACTCTATCACCCACTCTCTCCTTTCCAATAATCCATTGCACCTAGATGCTGATTCCACACTTGTGTTTACATTTTGCCAACTCACAGTCATCCCAACAAACCTCCATTCCTCTCACAGTCAAGATGCTCAGTCACCAAGACTAACCTGACAGTCGTATTTTTGTGTCTCCCTAGCTGACCCACATCTGTTTACAAAGAGGAGGAAGCCTCTGTCCTCTTCCATCTCCACACAGATACCTTCCAGAAAGCCACCATGAACATCAGAGCCAGGGGGGGGCACATGTTGGATAGAAGCCCTGGCTTCAGAAGCAGTTTTAGTGTGAAGGCTCCTCTCTTCCACTTACATAAGTCCCTTCCCACTGATATTCATTTTTAACTAGAAATTCAACACAAAATTGAATGGAATCCTCATGTTTCATTAGGCCCATTCAAGAATGGACCCTTTAGAATTCCAAAGACCTCCCCTTGGGTTGCTCTGGCTTCCTTAGGATCCCATACTGAGAGTTTTAGTTCCTTCTTTTGGGGGACAAAGGGTTCCCTGATGAGGCCAAGGAAGTTCCCTCCCTTCCCTATCTCAATTGGCAGAAATAATAGCTCTTGATGCTACAAGAATCTAGTACTATCACCACCACAAAATGTATACCACACACTCCCAACCCTGCTAGCCTACATGTGATCCACTTTCCTGTCCTGTCCACTTACCTCACCGTGGCTACTTATTAGGCTGGCATTATGTCTACATCCCACACAATTTCTAGCCTTTGCTATTCATTGTATGAATCACAGCATTTATTCTCCTTAGGAACAAGCATACAAGGTTGCATGATTTCACATGATTTTTTCCTAATTATTTATAAACTTATGTTATTTTGTGTGGTTGCTCATCTTCCAAGAGAATAGTGGCATTTAGTGTTGTTGGCAACTGATCCATATGGAGACTGGGTTCTTGATATGTCTAGTTAACAAGTTTCTTTTTGGTATCTAATAAACTGCAGCAATTTCACATTTAGATATTTCTCAATTGATAATATGAGGGCAAAGGACATTTTAAAAAATGGTGGATTTGACTATAAAACTAAAGAGAATTAAAGATAAGTAAAAGGAAAACGGTTCTTTGTGGTTTGTTGTCATTTTATTTTGTTTTTGTTTGCAGTTCTACTTTTCTGAAGTTTAAATACCCAGTTAAAAATATATGTGGTGTCTTAGTCTAATATTTCTATCATTTATAATTTTCCTCATAATTGATGTGTCACCAACTTAATGTTTTTCAGATGATTTTATCTCTTTAACACAAGCACTCTTATCAAACAAAAAGCAAAAAAGCTAAATTTCTATGCTATCTAATTTATTAGTATATCTACATTTCTTGACAAAAACACTTAAATTTCTAATGAAAATATCATCCCTCAAGGCTGGAGAGATATCTCAATAAGTGAAGTGTTTGCTTTACAGGCTTGTGGGCCTGAGTTTGATCCAAGGAACCCATATACAAAAGCCAAGTGTGGAGGCATAAGTTAGTAGTTCCAGCCCTAGGGATATACAGACAGGTGGATTCCTGGGGCTTGCTGGCCAACCCACCTAGCCTACTGTGCAAGTTTCTGTCTCAAAAAAATAAGATGGACATCTCCTGAGGAATGACATGTAAGGTAGTCTTCTTGCCTCCATACACATGTGTGCATGTACTTTCACATATACAAACACACATGAACACATATACAATGCCCTCAGCATGTGTCCATGACACCTCTAGATACCAACACTCAACATCTAAGAGTATACTGAAAAAAAAGGCATAATTTGCATATCACCAACCTTCTTAACCTTGCCATGCCACTGACAATTTGATTTTTATGCCAGGGTAGGATGAGGTTGACAAAGTCAGTATTTTTCTGATTCTTTGAAGGAAAACATGCACCAAAACAGTCTTGTTAAGAAGTCCCCAAGCTCCTATCCCAGTATGTGAAAATTCTTAATTCTGCAAAATCCTGGACATGGCAAAGACAGAAATTCTCAGGACTCCAACACTCCCCATCCCCTAAATTACATTCTTGCTAGTGGCCTGCCACAGAGAGTGATATTCTGAAGCAGGACTTACCAGGCTGGAGTTCATTAGGTCCTCTCAGAAGATCCTCTTTGGATTTCAGGTTGTGCCTGGAATTTAAAATTCAAAATTCATGAATAGCTGTTTATTTCAGCAGACTCCAAAACACAGTGAAACCCTGGTCCCTTCTCTCCTCAAAATCTTCAGATTCTTTGCTTCGTCATCTTCCTCCTCTCCTGCACACCAAGTCATAGATGAAAAACATACCGTCTTGGCTCACTTGTCACACAAATTGTATGAAATGTACATGTAATCAAGCAAGTAGAAACTGTCATCCACAAAAGGCTTCAGGAACTCTTTTACTTTCTTTTTTCAGATAGATGGAGCTGACTCTCCTTGCTGTCTGCTTGTATAAATTTATCAATTGAACAAGTTTTTCAATCCAGAAGTAATGAGTACAGAAAGAGACATCTCTGTAGAGAGTGAGAAAGAAGATTCCAAAGCTTGCCAGAGGATAATTGGACCCTTTGGCTCCGACAGCTAAAGCACACTACAGGAAGTGCACGGGTTAGCTAAACTTAGACAAACAGTGGCCTCTTATGGAGGTCCCGATGTCACACTGATTACATACGGTGTGGTAAGTTGCAGTTTGTTTGGCCCGTCATTCCAGTTAAAATGTGCTGTGTGAGAGCTGGAGTAGAAAACCTCGTGTAAGTTTATTTCTTTTCTATAAATAAGGCCAAAAGTTCCTCCCAGCATTGCTTCCCCTCCACCTCTGATATTTTAAAGATGCAAACATAGCCTAAAGTACATCTATTAAAACTTTACAACCAGCATGTGAGGTTTTGTTTTCCAAATGCTGCTGGCTTCCTGTGTGGAGAGATAAGCAGGCAATCTTACTGTGTTTGTTTTGACAGCCCCAATGGGGAAAAACAATCTCATAACTGGGGGAAATCCTCCACCCCTATATGGTTCTGCTTACTCAGGACCTAAAAGAGCCAGCAGGAATCATGGACACTGGCTAACAAGGAGTTTGGGCACTACCACTATCACCTGTCTCATTATTTCCTTTCGAATGTGAACATGGCCAAGGTGACAGGCACAGACAGGCATATGGAAAGTCTACTAACAAGCAGCCCCCAAAAGAAAAGCCAAGAGTCGCATCTTGACTCTGTCTAGATTTGGTTATTTTAGGGGGTTTCCTGGAGGTGTGTTACATTGAGAAGGAAGGCACCAAAAAAACAAAGAGCAAGGCTAATTTTTGTGTGTGTCGGGCGGTAAAAAATAATTTGAGGAAAATTTCCTGAACTTTTGAGCAGCTTGAAAATAAGTGAAATCAAGGCTGCACGGAAAGGAAGGCTTCACTTGTCGGGAACTCATCTGCCAGAGATAGTTACCATGGTTTTCGCTTCAAGTGGTACAGTGCAAGGTCATGCGAGGTAGAAATCCCGGAGTCCGGTGGTAGTTTTACAGCTCCATTCCCTCAGATGAGTGGTGGCTTTGTGTTCTGTTAGCGGCTCACCAAGCAGGAAAACAGACATTGTCATGACTGAATATCAATATTCTAAGATATTCATAATTTTGACTTTCAGTTATTATTTTTTCCAAAGGCAACCATGCGAATTTATTTCTTAGAAACATTATATTTCATTAAGTATAAATTCACTAAATTAATTCCACAGAGATATTTTTGTAGTGCGCCTGGATGGATGAGTTTGGGTTTGTTCAGTATTGCACATGCATTAGTGTTTCACAGTCCTGATGGCAATGAGAGCTCTCCCAAAGGTTAGCAAAGCTCCTGGTGTATTTTGTGAGGTATTGTTTGCAACTAGGACATAACTGTCTTTTTATCTGCTTCCGGAGTTGGTTCTGTGTTTATGTGGGATGTAAACAGCTCCCAAAGGTCAGCCTGCCTCTGATGAGGACGCAGGTCCCAGTCAGTTAAGGCTATATCTCTGCTCTGCTATTGCTGCATTTGTCTTCTGTAGCTGTATTCTCTATCTCCTATGAAGGTCACCTCTCCTGCTTGCTGTTTCTTAGAAACCATTCCATTCAACTCTTACTGTCTAAGACCAGTGTAGGAGGGATATACCCTCTTTGTTCATTATGGGATATTTACTTTGAAACATAGCACATCTAAAGACTTTGAATACTAAAAGTCATTCCTAAATATTTTATCATTATAACAGTTAAATAAAGGCTCATTATGAAAAGTCTGGAAGTTTCAGAATAATACAAAGTACAAAATAATATAAACTAGTCAGGTAAGCACCAAGATAACTCCTTCTAGCCAGTCTTTGGCTTCATTCACATGGTTATTGTGAATATTTATTTATTTTATTAGTTCTTTAAGAATTTCATATATTGTATTTTGATCATACTCACCCCTTCCTCAACTCCTCCCATATTCATCCCACTTTCCTGCCAACCCAACTTTATGTCATTTGAAATAAATAAACAAACAAATAAAAAGTCATGGAGTTTCTGTGCTGCTCATATACTCTTGGATGTGTCATTTAAAATTGCTTTCATTCATTAAGAGTGATGGATTCATGCCATAGTGTCATGTCTGCACCAGGTTTCTACATCCTCTGCACAAGGGTGATGTCATTCTCCTTCCTGGGAAACCCAGAAAGAGCACACAATCTGCCTGCATCCATCTAGTTATTAAAAACGTGGAATTCTGTCATTTTCCACTTCCTTCACCCCTCGTACAAACACTACTCTACCCTCTTAACCATTGTTCTGTACGTCCATTTATTTCAATTGTATACTAAGTTCTACCACCACATTCCAGAGTCTTCCTTGATAGCACGCCTGACAGTCACCCAGCTGGCCTCTGGGACTTGCTTTCTCGTCTTCCCTGCTCACCACTATAGATCTATCTTTCATTAATCAGTTCATTCCCTCTGTCAAAACACTGCTGACTTTTCTGTGAGGCTTCAGATGAAATATCATCACCTGTGCTGACACTCAAAGTGCCACATCTGCAGTGGTTTTAATGTGTGTCCGTGATGTCCATCTGTCTGCAATCCCATGCCCAGATCCTGCCTTCCTCTTACTCCCATCGTGTTCCAAACTGATCTTACCTCTTAAGTTTTGCTCAGTCCTCTAGGTCATAGTTCATGCTTATCTATTTTGTAAAACAGAATGAGTTTCTGTGACATCCAAAATTGTGCAACTTGAGTCCAAATCTTTACCATTCTTGCTAGGGGATTAGGGGGTGAATAGGAAATTCTATCAAGGTTCCTTCTGCATATGCAAATATTATTCCCTATGCACCCTCGTAAGAGCCTGGGAAGGAACAAATATATGTTATGAAGTTTTGGTAAGTTTCCAATGTTATACAGAAGAGACAAAATATTATCTACTGTATTCATTAATATCTGTAATTTTGAGTCATTTCAATATCTGGGTCTATTCCACACACTGTAGCACTTAAGAGCATTTATGTTCTCATGATCTTCTAAACATGAATTTGAATTTTATCTGTCTCATCACATTCTCTCTTGTCTTATTGTGTTAATCATTTTTCTTGCTCAGCTTGGCTATGAGTTTCTAGGTGTAGTACCGTGAGTTACCTTATTTTATGCTTATAAACCCCAGAGCCCAAGGCCACCCACCACCTTAATGACCACAAGTATAATTTAGATACATTCTAGGTGGCAAGATCTAAGTGGGGTCACATTTGGATTTAAATATAAATAGAAAAGCTTGTGACCCCAGCTTTCTGGAAGGCTCTAGGAATAGAAAAACCTTGCTCTTTGGGGAGTTTAATTTTAAAGTCAGAAATTAAGATTAGCCTACACTCTGTGAAAGCAATATATGAAAGTATTTTCTCCACTTAAATCTTGCCTCTTAGAAATATTCCCTAAAATTTTATAGCAATTCTTCCTTGGCCACGCCTACTGAAGTCAGAGGGGAAAATCAAGTGTGTCTTGTAGACACTGAGGAATGAAATTATACCTTTGGTTGTCTCCACCGGAAACACCAGGGTAGCCAGTGATATCTTGTTAATGACTGTGTGATGAAAACCTGCTTTGAAATTACTTATTGAATCTGAAAGTCTACTTTTTGTTTTATCTAGTTAGTAAATATCCAAATAACATTCCCACCTATTAGGTTAATAGCTAAAATGTCAGTAATAGGGTTAAGGTTAGATTTGGTGAACAACAAAGGAGCTAGAGTTAGAGTTCATGCTGAATTTAGGTTTAAAAATAGGGCTATGGTTAGATTTGTCATTAACGTTGGGAGTCAGAACTCACTTTAACTGAGTTATATTAGGTTTAAGGCTAGGATTCATGTCAGTGTTGGTGTTGATGTTATGGCCAGGTGTAGGTGAATCTGGGTTAGGCTCTGTCTATATTCCCTAGTACAAAGGATACTTTGACTAAAAGATATTCTGGAAATTTTCATCTTATATGGTAAAAGACATACCTTACATTTTTGCCCCTTTTCTTGGGGCTTGTATAAGTATTACTGGAGGAAAAGCTTCAATGTGTAGTATTCTTCAGATTAGCTGTAACTACCAGCTTCCCATAGATGGCTAGTGTATTTTTAAGGCTCTCTCATATGAGAGACAAGTGATGCTTTCATGTAGGCATTAGCAGTCTAAAGGTCAACTGATGGATCATGTTCAGTTTGTACTCCTCTCTCCCCTAATATCTCCAGCACCCAACATAGAAGCTGACACCATGAAAGTGCTGTGATCTGGAGTGTACCCACATTATAAAACATTCTAAAAAATCAAGGTGTTTTTTATCTTTGACATTAGTTACTCATGAAGTTCGTTATATTATGTTATTGATAGATGGTGCTCTTTTATGTATTTCTAGTCTGCACTTCTTTCTCAAACTGCAAACTTCAATGTCCAGTGGCTGAATGATGTCACTATGTGATCTAGATGGCCACAAATCGTGTACTCACAGTTCAGATGACATATAAACACCAACAGTCCCTAAAGTGAGTCTATTGTTCCCGTAGACATCACCTTTACATACTCTTCTCTTCTTCCATTCTACTTGAATACAGCACCATCCCCCAAGACTTGTAAGCCAGCACCCTGATTCAGGGCCTCTTTCACCTCCTACTAGAATGTCTTTTAATCAAAATTCCTCAATTCTCCCATCCACTTACTCCCTTGTGCTCTCAAGTTGCCCTTTAGTGCCTCTTGCCTAAACCATAAAATAATTGTCTTAACTCTTAAAATAATTGTCAAGGCACTGCCTCACCTTCTAGCTTTTCCTTGTTTACTCTGTCCCCTCTACAGTCATGAAATGAGATGTTTTGTTATGATCCCCACTAGCTGAATGTCTTCCTCAGTCTTCCTGCTAGAGTCTTCCATGGTACTCGCCCTTCCATTTCTCTGGAATTTTACGGTTCTCTTGATTCCCAATGGACCTGTAATGTCAAGACTGCACTTACCACACAATAGGACTTTCACTTCCCTGGCATAGATGGTTACTTTCTTGAAGTTGAGGAGAGTTCATTCATTCATACACTGCCACTTCACTGAAAAGTGCTTGGGTGTGCCAATGAGTGCTCACGAAACTTTTTGCTGCAAGAACACCCCTTGCAGGACTCTGAAACTCTCACAGATCCTCTTTGTATATTAGTGTGTCCGGTCCCAAAATAAAACTTGTGCTGTGTAAGGTTTCTTTAAAAAGCACACCCTGTATCTCAGCAGGAAGCTACAGATTAATAAACAGCTGACAGAACCAACTAAATAGCACTCAGTGAATCACCAGGGTGCCATCACTTACTGTTCACCAGACTGGGGGATATGGGTGATGAGTATAGAAGGCTTATTTCTCATTGGCAGATTTGCAAAAGATGTTTGAAAGTTTGGGGTATCAGAGCATCACTTCCTGTCCACATCATGATGTAAAAGAACCACAAAAAAGAAAACAACCATAACAAAAGTGAATCTGGGAGGATGCATGAGTACAGAAATTGAATTTCTAATTCATTTGCAGTCACAGAATGTCCACCTCATCCTTTGTCACTCCTGCATATAATAGAAACTTACATGTGGTACAAACTATGTTTCTAAATTACTCACGAGAACAAATGATGGCATGTAGACCCATCTACAGTCTCCTTCTTCCATTCCTTCCTAACTTCCTTCCCCTTTCCCTCCCTGACCCTTTTGTTTGAGTGAGATCTCATGTATCTCAGGTTGTTTTATAACTCCTAACATAGCTGAAGAATGCCTTGATCCTCTTGTCTCTGCCTCCGGAGTGCTGAGATTGCAGGCACAAACCCCCATAGCAGTTTATGTGGTGTTGAGGATCAAACTTAGGGTTTTGTGTATAGAAGACATCAGTCTACTAACTGAGCTACTGCCCCATCCCCATATGTAGTTTTCTATAGCCACTGGATGTCTACACTGTGGCAGAACTCAGGCTAAGGTCAAGGAGGGCTTACAGGGGGCTGTGGACTCACCATGTGAAAACCAAAGAGCTCAGCTGTCCTCATTACAAGGCTGAAGACCTTGGGCTCATGTTACCTATAGCGAATGCCAGCTCCTTGGAACGTTTCTCTCAAAATCACCTTCAAGCATCTGGAAGGTCAGAGCCACCCACAGTTTTCTCCTGGAAAAATGATATAGCCTAGGGATATAGATGGGATGGATGGATAACTGGAGAGATATGATTTTCAAAGGGACAATGACTAGACAATTCATAGAATATAAGATCAGGTCTGAGACTTCTTCATCAATGGGGCCAAAAAGGGGTCAAATTTTGTTTATTTATGATGGGATCCCCTCATGCTTGCCTTCCCTATACTTCTTACTTGGGGTCAAAGGAGAGAAAACAAATATAGTTTTCAAAACAGCACCCATGGCATGCTGGCTTCCTATCTTTTTTCTGCAACAAAGCTTCCTCACCCTGCCTTCCTATGATTCTCTGAGGCAAATAATGGATTTTGAAGCTTGCCATAGCTAGCTCTGAAGGAATAGCCTTTGCTTGCTCTCATGTATGTTATCTTGGTGTGTTTTATGTCTGCATTGCTTTTTGAAGTGTCCCAGAGTCTGTCTACCCATAAGGGAAGAAGACTGAGGCCAGGTGCGGTAGAGGAATCTGGGTACCAGAGTAGAGACTGTTGTGGAAGGAGACTTTCAAGTTCAGTGGCAGAAATACAAATACAGGTTCCTAGCACTGGGTGACTGAGTTCAGGACTGGGATTCCTGGAGAAAGAGGGAGGCAAGCAAGGGAGATGCCGTGATACAATGGTGTTGAACTCGGAGAACAAGAGAACATATGCACCACCTGTTTGTTTCTAACTCTTTAGCCTTGCCTGTCTATGGTGGCTCCACCAGACTGCTGCAGTGAGAGTAGTGTTGGTGGAGACCATGAGAGAAGCTGGTTGCTTGGTAAGGAGTTCTAGTTTTGACAGTAGCAGGCCTAGAACGCCCCTGGAGACCTGCCCAATCCAGGATTTCATAGAGTCCCACAGAAACCTGAGTGCAGGGGTACATGGTAGGAACATAGCAGGACTTTCACGGTCCATGTGTGCATGGGGACACACTAGCCCTCATGTCTTTGATGTGGCTGCCTCATCTCACCGGTCCAGTTATTTCTTCCATAAACCTGAGGATAGATAGCTCATGAGCCTGACATGCCAGCTGGTAGAAGGAGAACTGCTGCCCTAGCTGGAGATGTCATCATTGTTGGGACCATGGCACATTTGGTCTATCAGGCAGCATCAAAGATGGGAGCTCCACAGTGCATCCACGGGGAGGAAAGGACACAGAGCAGCCAGGCTGGCAGGGGAGAACTGCTGCAGGCACCTCACAGCTGGTGGTCATATGGAACAGATCAGTTCAGTAATTTGCTGTCCGTTGAGAAGCTGATGATCCTTGGGCACCATCTGCAAATGGATCGAGTATCCTCACTGGACAGTGGTGAAGCTTTAGGTTGTCAGTATCTTGCCATCCAGGTAGCACAGGAAGGAAGGCCCTGGGAGATGCTGATGACTTCCTTTAGCTTTAACTCTTACTCAGCCTCATTGTGCTGTTGCTTGCTGGTGGAACAGAGAGCAAAAAGAGTTTAAAGAAAACAGATTTTCAAGGGAATAACAGGGATAAAACAACCCATGAGGAGTATGCATAATGCCAAAAGCCACCAGTGCAAACAGCACCAACAGCAGAGAGTCAGTTCATAAGAAAACTTACTGTTATCTTGTTGGTTGGCAAGGCAAGTGCAGTTGGTTTGTGGCTATCCTTATTTTTGTCTCTTTAATGTCAAACTCTGTAGTAGGGATTTCCAGGAATAGGACCACAAATGAGCCGGAGATTACACCGTGTTTTATGCAGGACACATCCAGTTTCTCCTTACTGGCCTGAGTGTTGGTGTAGCTGTGCCAGAAAGCCTGAGGCTTGCAGTTAGTTTCTCCTCCTCTGCTGACTCTGTAGGGAAAGGGCTGGAAGAAAATAGTCCAGTGAGTGAGATATTTGGAAGCTTATGAAGCTTTTATTCAGTTAAAATAAGAACACTGGACATTCAGATAGCCCAGAGCTATATTAATGAGATGTAATGGAACCACTCCTACATGTGAGTCTGTTCCCAACTCATTTTGGAATACCTTCCTGACAGATAGTTTTGACCATCATTCTTCAGATTCTGACATGGATTCTGAGGATGCTGAAGATCCACCACAACAGACTGGCAATAATGCACAATGTACCTGTTCTACTTAGCAGTATCAGCTTGGAGAGCTCAGAGTGCTCTGAGAGGAAGGCATCTTTTGAGGAGTTACCTAGATTGGATCATCCAGGGGGCATGTATTTGTGTGTGGGGGTTGTCTTCATTATTAATTGATGCAGAGGGACCAACATACTGTGGGTAACAACATACCTATGCAGGTGCTGTTAGGCTGCTTAAGAAAACTGGCTAAGGTCTGGAGAGATGGCTCATCAGTTAAGAGCTGTGACTGCTCTTCCAGAGGATGCAGGTTCAATTCCCAGCACCCACATGGCAGCTCGAAACTGTCTGTAACTCCAAGATCTGACACCCTTAACCAGACATATGCATAGGGAAAACACAATAAATGCAAATAAAACAATTATTTAAAAACAGAAAGCTGACTAATCATGAGCCTGAGAGTAAGCTGGAGAACAAGCCAGAAAATGGTGTTCAGCCATGGTGCCTGCCTCCACGTTTCTGCCTTGAGTCCCACTATGACTTTCCTGTGATAGATTGTGACCTGTGTAAGGAAAATCAATCCTTTCTCCCCCGATTGCTTTTGGCCAAGTTTTGGCAATAGAAGAAAACTAAAATAACAGTACCTCAGGGAGATTTCTTCTGCCATTGAAAATACATTAGTGGGAGCTTCAGAGATGTTGAGAACCTGGTTTTGGTTCCTAGTACCCAGATGGTGGTCCACTGCCTGCAACTCCAGTTTCAGGGGATCCAACACCCTTGTCTCCTCAGTCACTGAATGTGTCATGCTCATAAAGATGACCTGGCACACACATATACATAAAAGTAAAAAAAAAATATTATGGTTGGACATATTGTTTTGTATCTGTAATTCTAGAACTTTGGAGACATAGACAGGAGGATTGCTATAACTTGGGTCCAGTCTGATCTATATAGCACGATCCAGGCCCGATAGAGCTAAATTTAAAGACTCTCACTCAAGAAATTATATATATACATATATATGTATTATATGTATATGTATATACTATATATATAGTATATGTACTTTTGTTAACAGGTTTAACAGTGTGGTAATCTCAAGTAATCACACACACACAGAGTCTAACATGTTAGCATATGTAAATTGCGTGCCAGAGAGAGAGAGAGAGAAAGAGAGAGAGTTGTTAGAGACCTGGTCTGAACAATGAAGAGGATATTATTGAAGACACTGACATTCAATGCACTAACAATCCCATGAGGCATGATATACTAGATTCTTGGTGCTTCTACAACAAAATATGGTCTCACAAGCAGCTTAAACTCATGTAAATTTATTCTCTCATCATTCTGGAGCCGATTGGCCCAAGATGAAGGCATCAGCAGGCATGGTGACTCTGAATGCTCCAGGTAATAGACTTGCCTTGCTTCTTGTGAGTTTCTTGGTTTCTGTAGGTTGCTGACATGCCATGTCTGGGCTTTCTTTGGGTTTAAGTTCCATCATTTTACTCTCTGTCCCAGCTATCTTCTGTACAATTGTTCAAAGTTGTCTCTTTTTTAAGGGGCACCAGCCCCTTGGATAAGGGCTAATTTAGTAAAACCTAATTTTGATGATATCCACAAATATCCTATTCCCAAATACAGTGACATTCAGATATTCCAGAAGTTAGGACTTAAATAGGACCATTATTTTGGACACATAGCTCAGCCCACAAAATCTGAGGCACCAAATGCATTTTACATATGCTAATATATTAGATTCAGTGGGTGTGTGATTTCTTCAGATCACCTCATTGTTATGTCTGCTGCCCTAAGACATTGCTTTGGCCAGACCCAGGGAGATTATGTATGTTTCCTAAGTACATAATTCTAGAAGCAAATGCAAAATAATTAAAAGAAACCTAAAAATGACTCCTAAATGGAATTCGATCAAAATTTCATGTCCTAGGGCAGTTGAAATGAGGTGAGAGGTGATGCAGCTTCAGTTTTTCTTTTTTTAGACACCCTTATGAAACTCTGGTGGAACTTGAACTCACTACGTAGCCAAGAATGATTTTGAATTTCTGATCCTCCTGCCTCCACATCTCAAGGACTCAATTGACGCAATAAGCCATCATGCCTAGTTTTATTGGGTACTGGTGATGGAACTAAGGCTTTGTCTATGCTGGGCATAGCAAGCTACAGATTGAGCTACATCTCATCATGCTATGTAAAACTCCAGGAGGAATCCATTAAAATCTCACTGGAGGAAAAGAGTACTAAAAATGGACAAGAGTCACAATAAAAAGTGAATATCCTTTGTGCTATAGCCAGATGTAATGGAAAAGCTAGACAGAATGATTATAGCATGGGAATTCTCTCATCCAATTAGTTTCTTTAACACCTTGCCTGGTTAAAGAGAAGCAACACTGTGGTGGTTTGCATAAGAATGGCCCCCACAGGCTCATAGATTTGAATGCTTGGTCACCAGGGAGTGCAATACTAGGTGTGTTCTTGTTGGAGCAGGTGAGGCTTCATTGGAGAATGTGTGCCACTAGAGGGTGGACTTTGAGGAATCAAAAGCCCAAGCCATGCCCGGTGTCTTCCTTTCTCTTCCTGCTGCCTGCAGATCTGGATGCAGAACTCTCAGCTACTTCTCCAGCGCCATATCTGCCTGCATGATGCCATGTTTCCCACCATGCTAAATGGACTACACCTCTAAAACTGTAAGCAAGCCCCAATTAAATGCTTATCTGTGTAAGAGTTAACAATGGTCATGGTGCCTCTTCTCAGCAATAGAACACTGACTATAACAAACATTTTCAAAATCTACATAGCTTATTTGTTATTACTGTGACAAAATGCCAAAACTAACACGGGGGAGGAAAACTTCTGTCTCACCTTACAATTCCCTTCACTGAGGGAAGTCAGGGCAGGAACTCAAGGTAAGAATCTGAAATTAGGAACTGAAGCAGAGAAAGCAGGAACACAGCTTGCTCTACATAGTTCTCTCAGCCTGCTTTAGCACATCACCCAGGACCACCTGCTCAAGTGGAAGGGCTGGGCCCTTCCACCACGTCAATCATCTATCATTTTCTCAACTGAGATGCCCTCTTCCCAGATGACCTTAGATTATGTAAGTTGACAAAAAACCAAACCAGCACACATATTTTACTATATACACTCAAAAACTTCCTGATGGACAATTCCAAAACCCAAATTAAAAAAAAAAAAAAACTTCATCTTTTCTTTTTCCTCAGTCTTGGATTTTGTTTGCACTATGAATTATGTTATTTGAATTACCTTTATGTCTACCTTTAAAAGGTGTTCTTAATATAGGAGGAAGGCAGGCAGAGTTTTATTTTATACTGAAAGGTACTGTGATAATTATTTATAACTATGTTATAGACAAGAAAAACATTCTAACAATAGCATTTACTTTAGTATTTTTAAAGTAGAAGTCTGCAAATAAGATTATTAATTTAATGTTACTATATTAAATCATGCTATTAACAAAGGTCAATTATTTTTGTTATATAAGTCAAAAAGTGTTTCAAAGGCCAAATGCCTCTCTTTGAAGGTGTATCAATTTCTTTTATATTCTGTAGCAAAATAACAATACATGCTATTATAAAAAAGCAGGCACAAAGAGTTTATGCTAAAAATATAGGCAGCCATGGTTCATGTTATGGCCTTTGATTCAATTTGTTCTTTAAGTGCAGTTACTCTTTGTGGTTCTTAAAAGGAAGAGGGAAGTTCAATGCCAACAGCATCATTTCTGTTTGACATCTGGCTCAAGTTCTGGCTACAGCTGGGTCTATACAGTATATCAAGAAAATGAAATAATGAGCCTGAAAGGATGACTAGGAAAATAAAAGGTGAAAATGGACCTTTGTCTTGTGTGGTGAATGTAATTATTAAATGAGTTTCACTTCTTACTCTAGGTGCCTTTGCCTAAAATGGCTTCAAAATTAAGTTTCCAAACTTGGCTCTGCTTCATCACCACAACTCTTATACTTTGCTCTTAACTGTATACTACTGAGAAGCAATGGAATCTCACTTACTTTTTTTGTGTGTTTTTGGAAACAAGGTCCTGTGTAGCTCAAGCTGGCCTCAAACACACTATGTGGAATGGCCTTCAATTTCTGGTTCTGTTGCTTCCACCCACCTCCAAAGTGCTGGGATGACAGACATATGCCACTTCTGGGCTCTACCTCTTCATTTCTACTTTGTTTTCCTGCATGAAATGTTTGTGGTGATATCAAAAGTTAGAACATGCAGTCTGTATACAGGGATCCAAAGGCTTGGGGTCAGTAGGATATTTTTCTCTTCATCTTTATGATTATTCCAATTAATTAAGCACTTGCTGAAACATCAGTGTATTCATCAGTGTTTTGGTTATCTTGGAGAGTTATCCTTATCCTTGAGACACTTTGAAAAGAAACTCACAAAGAGAGATTGTACTTACATAAGAGTTTAGTGTACATGTAGAACATACTCATTTCTTCATCTGTTTTTTATTTCATGCGTGTCAAAGAGCCCTGTAAGAGTCTATGTGGACTAGGAGGAATCAGCTTTGTATTTCCTTTTTAAATTGGTTTTATTTTGCAAGTTACAGTCATATTCAGAATTTTATTAACAGATATCCTAAAAAGTAGAGACTATGTTCTCATTGCAGGTGGTAATGGCAAAAAGCCATCTAAGCAGATTTCATAATCTGACATGTTTACATGTATGTGTCCATGGTCCAGAAGTAACTGGGGTCTGTTTTGATGTCTGTGTCCCGTGTCACCTCAGGAGGCCTTAGGAATCATTCTAGATGAAATCAATGGGCTGTATTGAGCCAGTCCTGCCCTTCACTACCCTGAGAAACCTGGCCTTACCTCTTGCTGTCCATTATGGCAAGAGAGTTGGCCCCTGCACTCAGCAGAGAGGGCCCCCACCCTTCACCACAGGAGAGAATGAACCTACCCTGCTGGCATGCAAGTAAGGGAGCTGATTCCACCACTGCAAATGAGGTGGGTGGTCCCAGTAGCTTGATCTGACCTAACTGGCTAACACCCAGGCCTGGGTTGACCCACCCTAATATCTAGATCCTGCTGGAGCACCGAAGGGATTGGTCCAGCAGAAGAATACCCACAAGATCTCCAAGACACAGGATACTCCAAAAGAGCTCAGGTCAAGATCCAGTGAGGATGATGTACCAATAACCAGAGGACTTGAACCAGACCAATGACTCGTTGCAATGGACAGTTGCCAGTCAAGCTGATCTGAGAAGGGGATATAATATATGGCACACAGAAGCCTCCAATGCCATCAGGAAGGATAAAGAGGTGGTGGAGAGCAGGAGATAAGAAGCAGAGATTTTTCTGTTTCAGGTATGGCTTTTTGCTTTGTTTTGGTTTAATGGGTTTTTCATTTTTTGTTGTTGTTCTTGCTTTTGTTTGCTTGCTTGTTTTCTTTGTTTTTGTTTTATTTCACGGGGGGGGGGGGGGGAAACAGGGGGGGGGGGGGGATGAAACAGGGATGAGGGGGGAATATGGGAGTACTGGGAGATGAACAGAAATGGGGTGCATGATGTGAAACCCCCAACGATTAATAAAGAAATTAGAAAAATATATAGTTATCCATCACTTTAAAATTTACAATGTTGTGTTTGTAGTTATTTTCCCTTTCAGTATATACCCAGTACATTTGCGTCATTTCTCTATTCTGGTTATCTTTCTCCCTAACATTTGCCTGAACTAGTTGGTGACTTTGTTCATCTTCCTTTGTGTTTTCCTCTCTTCTGCCTCATGAATTCTGTTTTTTTCTTTCATGGAGTTTCTTTATGTTTTTTCAGTTGCTATTTTTCCACAGTCTTGAGCTAATGAGTTGAAAGATAAAATCACACACACACACACACACACACACACAGAGAGAGAGAGAGAGAGAGAGAGAGAGAGAGAGAGAGATTGAGAATGTGTTTTGTGCTCTTATTTGGTTTTATTTATAATTACAAAATTGGGTAGCATTCAGCTTAAAAGGGAGGACATTCAGAATGTCCCCCTACTTTTCCCACATCAAGCCCACATGAGCAGGTGATATTTCTGTGTAGAAAAAGGAAGAGATGTGTGGGAAGGAAGAGAGGCACAAAGAAGCCAAGTAGCTATAGGACACTTCTGTCTTGAACATGGTTGACTGCTGCGACTTAGCCTCTCATTCTATGGGTCAGCTACAGTTTGTCCCCTCCCACAGTTAGCTATACTTTGTTCTCTATAGACTAATCTTCAGGTGAAAACTAGCAGTTTATAACTTACAATATTTTAAGTTTTCTTGTTAGACACATTTAAGGATATTATATTTTCCATCATTTCTTCTTTAGCTAGTCTACATGTTTTGACAGGTAGTGTTTTCATTATTCCTTAATTATAAGCATTGATTGATTTACTCTAGTTCTTCCTAAAATCAAGACTCATTTATAAATGTTAAAATTGCCAAACAAAGAGAAAGTTTAAAAGTTGTACTTTTGCAGCTTATTCATAACTGCTGCAACCTGCCAAATGTCTCTGGTTGTTAGCTCATCTTTTGTGATCACAACTGAGAGGTTCCCAGCTTTTCTGCAAGCTAAGTTCTTCGTGGGAGAGATTGTTTGTGGTGAACAATAGTTAGGCCACTTGGGGTGACATGTGTCCTCAACATCCATAGACTAACAAAAAGCCCAGTTCTAGGCATGCCAACCCTCATTTCTAGTTGTTGATCAGGGGAGTCCAAGAGACTCTCAAAACAATATGGTCTATTTCTGTCATCCTTAGTTGTCTCTTAGAACTTGAAGGTAAGCCTTTATTATTGAAGATGCCATGCATTTTTACCATAGGGCTCTGAGGAATCAAGCTGGATCTGACCCAAAAGTGTATTCTCTCACAATTAGCTTTTATAAAAATAGAAGGTGCTAGGCCTCTTCCAAAGGAGGGAAGCATCTGTGATGCCTATTGTACCACAGTAGTATAATGTAGTGACCAGTAGTTATAATGAGATGTCACTAAAGGTGCAATTATGGTACTTACAGCATGGTGGTAAACAACAGCTATCTAATCAAGCTTCAACTTAAAGGGAGAAATCATGCCTGTTACTTTAAACTAGTAGACCATTCATGGCTAGTAAGGTCATAGATCTCAGAACCTACTACTGCCACTTTCCAAAACCAGTGTGATTCCTACTGCATTCTAAATGCACATCCTTATACCCACAGATGGAGTATACACAGAGAGAGTAGCTATTTCCCCTCATCAATGAAGCTTCTTTTCATAGCAGAGATAATTCCCCAGATCTACAGTTAGTCAAAGTGCAGAGAACAACTGTCTCTATCAGGTGCCAAGTCCCAACTGACACACCTAGAGCACAACTCTTACACCTGATGCTTGGGGACTATCACAGAAAAGGGGATGGTCACATTGTAAGAGTGAGAGGACCAGGAAGTCTACAGCAAGACTGTAAGTTCTAGAAATGACAGGGAAGCTGCACTCACGAAATATCAGCAATCTGGCTGCCTAAGCAAGACCTGAATAATGACAATACCAATTAACATGCCCATGTAGATGGGGGGAAATCACAGGAGGCCCCAGCATTACAAGCAAGTAAAAGCTACGGAGAGGAGAAGAACTAGTCTTCTCTAGAGATGAGCATCCTAAATAGTTAGCCAATCTAAGTGGTCATTCTAAAACAATATAACACACAGGCAACACTCATTGGACTCAGCAAGTTGTTATTTATAATTTTTATTATATACATGTATGGAACAATAATAATTAAGAAAAGAGGGCCTTTGAATTTGAAAACAAGTGGGGGACACATGGAAAAGGTTAGAGGGAGAAGAGAGAGAGGGAATGGTGTGGTTATGTTTTATCAAATAAAAAAAGATGAGGAAAACATTTGAAGTAGGGAAAATTTCAGGTAATCTTGGGCTGCATGTTGATAGACAGACCATCCCAGCAATAAAGATAGCCATAAAAAGAAACTATGTCTTCTCCATGGCAGCTGACTCAATCCCTACTGCCACCCTGAGCCGTCTGGGATTTCCCCAGCCAGTGGTTTTCCAAGTCCACGCAGACTGTATGCCTAGGGCTGCCATGACAGAGCTCTTAGCCTTATTACATACTGCCTGCATAACACTGATGAGTACCAAGGTTCCGGTAAATCTTGTCTCTTCCTTCAATGAAGGAATCAAGATGGCATTAAGATGTAGTACTAGTAAGCTTAGTTTTCTTATGATTTTTAAAATAGTTTCTGTGTTTGTTTCAGAAAATAGACACTGGTTACTTATGTATTGATGGGGATGTCCTTCTGCATGATGTGAATATGTGTTTCTCTCATTAGCTGAATAATAAAACTGTTTCAGCCAATAGACAGGCAGGATGTAGCCATATAGGAAGTATTGGCAGGGCTACCATACTAGGAGAATTCTGGGAAGAGGAACACAGAAAGGAGCCACCAGAGAGATGCCATGTAGCTACTGGGAAGGTAGGATGCCTGAGCATTCTCTGGTAAGATAAAGCCATGTAGAGATACATCGATTAGTAGTTATGAGTTAATAATTAAAAGAGAGCTAGACAATAAGAAGTCTGAGCCATTGGCCAAACAGTTTATAATTAATATAAGCCTCTGTGTGTTTATTTGGGACTGAATGGCCACAGGACCAACTGAACAGAAACTTCTGTCCATAATATACAACTTAACTGTAATTAAAAAGGATACATGTAAGAGGATTCATTATGAGCCTGATGTCCTTTCATGTGCACCTGTATGAACAGTTCTAAGAACCCAGACAGGTAGCCTTAACCCATCTCTATACAAGCACTTATCAAATATGCATTTTGGGGGGCTAGGGAGATGGCTCAGCTGGTAAATGCCTCTGGAACAGCATGAAGACCTAGGTTTGGATTCTCACATAAAAAGTAGGCGCAGGGTGGGCACTTACAATCCCATGTTATCAAGGCAGAGACAGGAGAATCCATGAAGCCTTCTGGCCAGCCAGGCCAGCCAATTAGTGACCTCCAGGCTCAGTGAGTGATTGCCTAAAAATTAAGGTGGAGAAGGATTGAAAATAATAATGAATATCAACCTCTGGCTCCATAGGCATGTATACTTAAATGTATACACACCCAAACATGTACATACATGTACATGCATGCACAAATGCACACACACAGAGGGCAGGTTCGTGTAAAAACTACAGTGCATTGGTTTTTATGAAAAGAGTCATTGAGAATTTAGATAGGTAGCCAGCTGGATGTTAGGCTAAACTCTGATACCAGGAAATTCGGCCTCCAGGGCTACCCAGGACATGCATTATGTCACTATAGACTATTTCACATGTAGATTATGGGAATTTTCTCTCTCTTTAAGGGTATGGAGGATGTCATGTAGTAGCAGCAGAGGGAAGAAGGGCAGAAGGACATCCCAAGAGCTAGTAGTTTTACAGTGTCATAGAGGATGGGCCACTGTGTTTTTAATACATGTCAACTAGGTGGTGCCTTGACAATGCACATGCTGCTCAGAGAGTCCATGTCTTTGCAGGAAGTTGTTATTCTGATATAGATAAACTCAATCACTAATGTTCATATACTCCTTTCCTTCCACGGTGAACAGATTTAATTAATTATTCCTTTTTCATGTCTTTGATACCCTAATGATTAAACAATGAGTGACCTAAGTAAGTACTATTTTTAGTACTTACTGTCTTAGTTAGGGTTTCTGTTGCTGTGAAGAGACATCATGAGCACGGACACTCTTTTAAAGAGAAACATTTAATTGGGACTGGCTTACAGTTTCAGAGATTTCGTCCATTATTTTCATGGTGGCCTGCAGGCAGACATGGTGCTGAAGAAAGAGCTGAGAGTTGTACATCTTCATCCACAGACAGCAGAAGCAACTGTGCGCCACACAGGGTATAGCTTGAGTATATAAGACCTCAAAGGTCGCCTACATGGTGACACACTTCCTTCAACAAGTCCACACTTCCTAATAGTGCCACTCCCTATGAGCCAAATATTCAAACACGTTGGTCTACGGGTGCATATCTATTTAAAATACCACAAACTCAATTACTACTTCTTAAAATATAAAACAAAAGAGGGTCAATTTCCAAACGTAGACAGACTTTAAGGAAAGGACCAGGTCAGTCACGTTGAGGACATTGCTTTATTATAACCGGTTAGTGAAGAAGGCAAGGATCTCAATGATGGTGGTACCTTTCCATGCAACATAGCTGCACTGCTTTTGTGGTGAGAAGATTCATGGATGTAGGGGATATGGACAGCTGGATGTGGACTCTCCAGTTGGACCCAATGAACAGATGAGCAGAATGCTTCAGAAATGTGAAAGCTCATATCAATATGACCTACCCCTTCCATCAAATCACAGCAACATGAAAACAACCAGACATT